GCTGTTGCTATTTCCCGCCGCCACCGCGCCTGTTGTTCAGACAATTGCACCTCCCAGCCCCACCTTCGTCGCTGCCGCTGCTACTCCGTTGCTAATTCCCGCTGCCACCGCGCCTGCTGCTGTTGCTATTTCCCGCCGCCGCCGTGCCTGCCGTTTAGGCTACTGCACCTCCCAGCCCCACTGCCATCACTGCCGCTGCTGCTGCGTTGCTATTTCCCGCCGCCGTCACGCCTGCCGTTTAGGCTACTGCACCTCCCAGCCCCACCTTCATCACTGCCGCTGCTACTCCGTTGCTAATTCCTGCCGCCGCCACGCCTGCTGCTGTTGCTATTTCCCCCCGCCGCCGTGCCTGCTGTTGAGACTAATGGCCCTCCCAGCCCCACCGCCGTCGCTGCCGCTGCTACTCCGTTGCTAATTCCCACCGCCGCCGCGCCTGCTGGACTTGCATTTCTGGACTGGCGAGAATTTTGAAAATTTTGTTTCACGAAATGGCATCACACTTGCGATTTATTGTATGTGCTGCTACTACAACTACTTGTATGTATATAGTAGCACTGGTACTACCCTTTAGTATAATAGTAGTAGGTATATAGTCAGAGTAAGGAAAATGACTTCCATGCCAGAGTTGAACTGGCAGCCACAGCAATACCAAAATAGTGATTGTATGTTCTCTGTGGCTACATCACTTGGAAGAGAGTGAAGAGAGAAAAGATTGGATGGCCAATTGGATGTGGCCCATTTTTTGTAAAATAAAGGCCCTCACTAATGCACCTCCCAGCCCCACCGCCGTTGCTGCCGCTGCTACTCCGTTGCTAATTCCCACCGCCGCCGCGCCTGCTGCTGTTGCTATTTCCCGCCGCCACCGCGCCTGTTGTTCAGACAATTGCACCTCCCAGCCCCACCTTCGTCGCTGCCGCTGCTACTCCGTTGCTAATTCCCGCCGCCGCCGCGCCTGCTGCTGTTGCTATTTCCCGCCGCTGCCGTGCCTGCCGTTTAGGCTACAGCACCTCCCAGCCCCAACACCGTCGCTGCCGCTGCTGCTGCGTTGCTATTTCCCGCCGCCGCTGCGCCTGCTGTTTAGGCTACTGCACCTCCCAGCCCCACCTTCGTCGCTGCCGCTGCTACTCCGTTGCTAATTCCCGCCGCCGCCGCGCCTGCTGCTGTTGCTATTTCCCACCGCTGCCGCGCCTGCCGTTTAGGCTACTGCACCTCCCAGCCCCTTCGCCGTCGCTGCCGCTGCTGCTGCGTTGCTATTCCCGCCGCCGCCGCACCTGCCGTTTAGGCTACTGCACCTCCCAGCCCCACCTTCATCGCTGCCGCTGCTACTCCGTTGCTAATTCCCACCGCCGCCGCACCTGCTGCTGTTGCTATTTCCCGCCGCTGCCGCGCCTGCCATTTAGGCTACTGCACCTCCCAGCCCCTTCGCCGTCGCTGCCGCTGCTGCTGCGTTGCTATTTCCCGCCGCCGCCGCACCTGCCGTTTAGGCTACTGCACCTCCCAGC